TTAGCTTTTTAGTTTTCTCTTGGGTTACCTTATGCATTCTTGGTAGGGCAATCAAATAAAAATAATTAACAAAAATAAGATCTAGTTTCTCATTTAATAAGAAATTTAGTGTCCGATCTCTTTAAGCTTCCAGCAGGTCCTGGAGCTAGATTAGGCTAGGTTAGGTAAATGTTCTTTGTATTTGATTGGTAGAGCTGAGCAGGCATTTTTACTGAGCTGTATGCTGGGAAAAATTAGCCAAAACACTTTCTCCAGTGTTTCTTCTGATTCACTCTTTTTCCTTTCCTCTGGCCCTTTCAAAGTTCCTGCTTTCCAAGTCTACTTACTGACATGCAATTCAAATTAATTATAAAAATTTTGGTAGTCTTATTAAGAAAAAATAGGCTGGGTAATTTGCTGCTTTCCAAATGTTTAGTACAGAACTTATACACATGCACGTCTCTAAATCTGTGGTGTTAAGCTTATTGCACATTACATACCTTTTATTTTTCAGCCCTCTGTCTACTCTCAGTTTAGTTGTTGGGGTTTTTTTAGTGTATTGCTCATTCCTTGATCCCATGGAGTGTATCATATCTGTCCTAAGCAGAAATGCAACATCTGCAGTCTTTCCTAGGGCACAGGGTCCTCTGAGTGAAGTCTTTAGTATGATATAATTCATTAGTTTTTTAAGAGCATACAACGTTGTTCTAAAATGTCTGTTTTCTCTAAATCCTGCCATTTGGACTTGGCTTCCTTTCTTGGGAGGCAATCTCTTCTGACGTGGAGACTCAGAAACTCTCTTCCACCATAAAACAGAAATGTGACTACCAGAGGTTTCTGCAAGTGGAACAACAGCTCTTACATATACAATGGACTGCTTGCGACTAATGTTAACCCCTCCTTAAAAGAAATAAAAAAGTATCAAGGTAATAAGACCTTGGTCAAAAACACAAAAAAACAGGCTTCAGAACTCAGGTAGAGAAAGAGAAGCTGGAGAAGTCACTGCTTGAAAGCCACCTCTGGAAACTAACCTGACCTCAGGAGAATGATGGCTCCCCTCTCTGCACAAAGCCACCCTCTCTGCACATGTGCTCAAGGCACTTCTTAATCCTCTGGCTTCAGATGGGAAGGCATTAGTGCATTAGCGTGTATTTAAGCATACTGAAACAACTACAAGCATGGAATGTGCTACAGGAAATATTTATTAGGGGAAAAAGTGGGAGCAGTGAAGGGTGAGCTGATGACACAAGTGGTAAAAATGTTCTCCAATAATTTGTTTCAATCTGTACTTCAAATACAGCTCCTAGTACTCTGTATGCCTGTTAGAAAATGGAAAACAGAAAACAGGATTACAAAACCACACCTAAACATTAGGGTATTAGTGAAGTACGTTAGAACAGGAACACACGCTTGGAAGAAAAGCACAGTGAGCAAAGCTGGACAGCATCTGCAAATGGTCCTAGTATATCTGAATCAAATGAGGCCACTGTGGCCAGAGCTGTATCAAATGTCAGTTCAGGCAACTGAGCACCGCACACCATTTCAACAGAATGGAATAAGAGCATAGCCTACCTGTTGAATAACACCTGTGCTGGTTTTGGCTGGGATAGAGTTAATTTTCTTCATAGTAGCTAGTATGGAGCTGTGTTTTGGATTTGTGCTGAAAACAGTGTTGATAATACAGGGATGTTTTTGTTGTTGCTCAGCAGTGCTGACACAGAGTCAAGGCCTTTTCTGCTTCTCACACCACCCCATCAGCGAATAGGCTGGGGGTGCACAAGAAGCTGGGAGGGGACACAGCCAGGACAGCTGACCCCAACTGACCACAGGGATATTCCACACCATATGATGTCATGCTCAGCATATAAAGCTGGGGGAAGAAGAAGGAAGGGGGGTGGGAAGGAGTGAATGAATTCCTTGTTTTGCTTTGCTTGTGTGCGCGGCTTTTGCTTTACCTGTTAAACTGTCTTTATCTCAACCCACGAGTTTTCTCACTTTCATCCTTCCGATTCTCTCCCCGAACCCACTGTGGGGGAGTGAGCGAGCGGCTGTGTGGCGCTTAGTTGCCGGCTGGGGTTAAACCATAACACCTTCTATTATTTATTTAAGACCAGTCATTCCAAGGCAATCTTAGTTAGTGAGTAATATAAAGTGAGAGGCCTCCATGCAAGTCCTAGATTCCAGTGTTTATTTAGATCCATCAGTGTGAAAGCACTGATGCTACACTTAAAATTATATGCACAGGATACAAAATTTAAACTTCTCATTGAGAAGACATGGAATTAATTGAAAGGTTCCTGCTGCAAGGTCCAGGTCATGCCACAGTGATTTTTTCATGTGGTATGGAAAATCTCTCATTCTTACAAGTTCAGGCAAAGATGTATCCTTGAACTTAATGATTTCATTTAGTTATTGGTTTCTGGTAGACGAAAATAAAGCATGGAAATGACAAAGACACAATAATATTTTACATTCTCTTACTCTTAATAAATTTACAATGTACATTGAAATAGAGTTTGGCAACCATAGATAAAGCAGATAATAGTAAAAATGTGCCATTACATATCAGCTTTTGCAAAGTTTATTCTGTTATTGAGGGCACCCTCTGCAGAGAAAGGCTGTATAAAAAAGGGTCTACTGGATGTCTACTGAGAAACAATATTGCATTAACCCTTAAGACCACTTAATCCATTTGGAAACTGGGCAATTAAAAAATGATCTTAGATTATTGCACTTGCCTTTCCAATGTTTGTGGATTTACAGCAGCACCTTTTGTTTAGAAAAAAAAAGGGGTTCTTCTTTATTTTTTGGAGAAAGACACAAAAGAGAAAAGAATACAGACACCCTTCTGATGAGTGAATTTGTATACGTAAAAAATTTCAAATTCCCTGAGGAAAAACAGGAAAATATTTATACTGCTTATCTGGTAATTTAATGCTGCTGTTATCACACTCTTTCCTTAATAGCTCTTCATGACAGGAGAATTCCTTCAGGTTGGCTGTTGTATCTTTCGGGGAATTAGGACAATGGGGCCCTGCTCTTACGTGAATCACTTACTTTGAACACGTTAAATAATAAAAGACAAAGATAAGAAGTATATATTGGAAGCAAAATTTGAAGCTGATTGGGACCTTTGAAGATGCTGATATATGCATTTCCCTCTCCAATCAACCAGCTCTGCTCATCAGCTCAGGAAGATGTCAGAGTCCCACCTCCTTTGCTGTGGTCTCTCCCACACCTCACACACTGCTCTGTGCAGAGGTTGCTTATCTCTGGTTATTTGTCCTGCTCTTGTTAACTCTGCAGGGTCCAGTCCCTATCCGGCCCTAAAAGGTTATAGCTGTAGCTTCAGAAAATAATTTTTAGTCAGCTCTTTTAATAATTAATCGCAACGTTCACCCTTAAAATGTGCAGTGAAGAGAAACCATACACAGGGGGCAACATTTGCCTGCCAAAAAAGAAATATTGCAGACTTTTTTTCCCCCTGATATTGAGAATGATAATAAAATTCCCCACATCTGAGTTCTTACACCTCAGGAAAATTATGTTTTCCTAAATGTATCTGACTTGTAGAGTATGGATATTCTAATGTGTGCTTCTGGGGTGGGAGCCTTGCATGAGAATCAATGTCACTTTCTGATTTGTTCTGTATTAGTTATATTTTGATTTTTCAGCAATCTAAGTTTTATCTTTCTTCTGTTCTTTGGAGCTGTTCACAATGTACCTCTCAGCAGCCATACATTTGGTTTGGAAAAAAATATTGTTCTGGGGTAGCCCCTTCCTGTCACGATGTGACAAATACCTGTTATGATACACAGTATGGTCACTTGTGCATCACATATACAATAACTATATGTGCAATGTATGTCTGCTAAGTGCACTATCATACACTACACTGCTGTTCAAATATGTTGCATTAGTAAGGACTGACCTCATTTCAAAGCTACCCACACAAAATCAAATGGTTATATCAAATGTTACCTTCTAATACACTGTTAGAGTAGCCATGTTTTACCTGGCTGCGTATTATTTTCAAAGCCAAACTATCAAGTATTAAGATGAACTGAGATAATTAGTGTCATGAACCCAACATTTTATAAAACGTATTACAGGTACAGAAGCCTAAAGGGACCTGACTATATTGTTTAAATTTCCATTGTTTAATCCAATTAATTAAGAAGTTCCAAGGACAAAGAAGGCTTTCCAGTTTAATGTAACCTTTTTTTTGTCAAAAAAGTTGTGCCAAGATATTTTGTTTTCCAGTTACAAATGCCTCTAAAACAGCTTCAGTGGGACACACAGTAGTAGTGGTACTTTGTGTGCTGAGATTAAGAGCCCTCCACTGTCTATAATCCCAAATATTTTTTTCAAATAATTAATAATTATCTCCTAGGAAAGCACATTTAAAACCACCTTCAAAACTGTGCCGCTTGGTTTAAACAAACAAACAAAGAAACAAACAAACAAAAAATCGTAATCAGAAAGTTTTACTGACGCTGTCTGCACTGCCAGTCTTTAACTGACCCTGTTCCTTTGTACAGCTTTCAGCAAACCAAGATAATTTTTGTCCACTCACATAGTGTTCCACTCACAAGTTGGTCTGAGTAGTACTGGATCTTCAGGTATTGCTTAGGGACTAGATAACCCCAAAGAACTGACAGCAGAGGACTGCTCACAAAGGAACACACCTTAGAAGCAGACTCCTTCTTCATCCCTAGAAGTTCACGGCTTGATTTTTTTAAGACAAGGCAAACAGAAGCACAGATGATATCCACTATCCCTTACTCCCTTTCTACCCCTCTCACAGACCTTTCTCGACAGATAAACATGCCGAACTGGAGTACAGACACGCGATTTTGGTACCTTCAGGTACTCGCAAGGGGTTTTAAAGGTAGCAGGGAAGCTAATTAATAGCAAAGCTGGGACTATTTCTGAATTAACTTTCCAGGAAGGCCGCCTGCAGTCCTCCGGACAGATGCTGAGCGGCAGACACCGGTGCTCAAAGCGGGCTGTCACCGTACCTTAAGAAGTCGGACGGAGGGGAGGAAGGCGGCATGGCACAGCTTCCGGATGGTCCAGTTGAGTGGCCGGGGAGCATCGGTCTGATTCATGACCCTCCACAAATCCTACCGCGGACGCCGGGGCGCGGGCATCCCGCATCCCGCGCGCGCGGTGCCGCAGGGCAGGGCTCGCACGGCGCGGGCAGAGGGCTGGGTGGGCGGGGCATGGGCCTGATTCATGACCCTCCACAAATCCCACCGGGAGATCAGCCGCAGACCTGTGAGCGCCTACCGCGGAAAATGGAGGCGATCAGCCCGCTGCTCAGGGCAGGCTGCACTGGCTGAGCGGAGAGGGGCAGCCCGCATAAAAAAAGAGGCTGCAGTGAGAGCTGCTGCTCCTGCTCTCTCCCTCCTGCCCTCCTCAGAGAGCGGCGAGGGTAGTCTCCCAGGCAAGCTGAGCCATCCGCCTCGCTCCTCCGCTTCCCTGGGCGAAAAGCAGGGCAGAAAGGAGATAATTTAAATAAAGCAAGCGGAGGGGTACTTGCACCTTCTTTCCCAAAGCATTGCGAGGAGAGGGAAACCGGCACGAGGGGAGGGGCCAACGCTGAGACAGCAAAGATTGAGAAGGGAAAAAATTAATTCACTCTTGATTTACTGATATAATGGACCTAGAAAGCATAGTTTCATTGATCTGGCATAGTATTGGTGCGCCAGCGGCAAGTGGCAGCGGTTAGAAGCTGTGCTGTAAGAGTGTTAACATGCCCGTTCTGGCAAAAAAAAAAAAAAAAAAAAAAAATCGAGTTCAGAATTCAGCTCATTTTAATATTAAATCTATGTGCAGAATAATTCTTTTAAAGACATGCAAACGCACGAAGTAATAGTGCTGGGGCAATTCAAGTATAGCAAAGCATGTTTCCATTTGGCGCAGTAACTGGCTTTCCCAGCTAATGAAGATATTCTTAATGCCAGCTCTCCAGCTAAAGGAGAAATACCTTTTCCCCACTATTTTTGGAGGGGATGAAGATTACATGAGGGAAGAGTTAGAAAGTGCAAAAGCAAACATCCAATAAAGCAATGGGAATTTTTCCTTTTGCCAGTAATGACCAGTTTTTCTCAGATTACGGAGGAAAACAGCCACTTCTCAGTAAAATTTAAATCTCTCATAACTCAGGTTAGAAAATACACATTCAATTTACTTGGCTAGATTTCATTGATCTGCCATTTTCATATTTCCTTTTAATCCCCCTAGTGCACATATTTTTCTATTCTATTTATAATTTGTTCTTATTATTGTGTCTACATTCATCAGCAAAAGCTGAATAATTCTCCAAATGAGGGGAAAGAGATGAAGAATATTCCATGAGGCTATGCTAATCTGCCTGGTTTACATATTACTGTCTATAATGGTTTGCAGTAGTGTCGCAAATCTAAAACTCTCTAACACAAAACAATACTTCTGGTTTGCTTTTTAAAGTTTGTTTAAGGAGAGACAGCTCTGGGGAGAACAGGGAAACTCAGTACCTCAGTCAATACCATCAGATCCTCCAAGGTAAACGGAGGATCCTAAAAACACTGAAGTTATCCCAGTAGAGCAGGGTAAGGATTGGTGTTTACACCCCAGTCTTCTTCTCCAAAGGAAGTCTTGCCCTTGTACATAGATTGATATTCTCCAAAGCCTATATATTAGGGCCCATGTAGAAGGAGCCCATGTGCATTGAGGTGGAAGCGTAGTACGTTTGTGCTTATTTTGAACATATGCATACCAGCCAGCTCCTCCTCACTGTACCCTCTCAAGAATTGTGTGAGTGTTCTTATTCAACCTCAGTATTGGATAAAAAATTCTTCTGCCCAGAATATAATGTCCCAGAACATAGTGCAAGGCTGAATATGCGCCAGAAGAGCTCTCTCACCTGTTCCATCCCACTGTATATGGCAAAATTATAAAAATTCAAAGGTGCAGAGACCAGGCCATGGGTTGTCTGTGGAATGGAACGGGTAGAACACCAGGAGCCATTCCCTTGTGACACAATTTCTGCAGATGAAATTCTGGCTATGACTGGGCAGCTAGTTTAAATTATACATATTTAAATGCCTTCCTGCTTGAGCTCTGAATGTATTTGTTTTATAAAAGGAGGAAAAAATCCTTGCTGTTGATAGTGAAATGCAACATGAGTAAGTAAATATGATTTTCTGAAACTACTTTTCTAAGGCTCCATTAACGAGGCAAAATTATGGCAAAATACGGTTGGACTCAATGATCTTAGAGGTCCTTTCCAACCTTAATGATTCTATGATAGTTAAGTAGGTAGAAAAAAATAATGCTGACTTTAAATAGCATACACCTCAAAACATGTGCGGCATGATACCTTTGCTCTGTTATAAAGGTAATAATATCCAATGATTAAGATTTTGGGGTTCATAGTAAAGAGAAAGTAAAAGTTTCAAACAAATCAGAAACAAGGACTCCCAACACTCCCAAGACGATGCCTTTCCCCTTGCCCCCCACCCCCCAAGCCATGCTGATAACTTTTCTTTACCCTTGAAGACCAGGAAAGAGTTTCTTGGGAAGGTACAAGACTCATCATTACCTTGACCCTTTCACATCTGTCTTGCATTAGGCATCTGCCATAAAACAAAATGTTCAGCCTATGTGCTAGGGACAAAGAAGACAGAGGAATCATAGCATGCTGCCCTTCTTTTCAGTGAGTAGAGTAACAAATCTCTGAGGAAGCTAGAGAGCTGAAGACAATAAAGAAACATAAGAGATAGCTTTAATAAACTAAGAATAGTGAGCCCAATGTATCTTCTAGCTTCCACAGAGCTTCCTGTCTTTGAGATGAGCTCTATCATTACCTTCTTCTGCAAACAGTACCTTAGGGACAAGAGCTGTTATGTGCTGCAGTGTTTAATACACACCAACCTTTTTTCACAGGCCTGTTTTCCATGGACTTGTGCCTTGCCTAGTCATTTGTATTTGCAGAAAGTGAGTGCAAGAATACTAACTTCTGTCAGTGGCAGCAAGGAAGGTCTGATGGACAGGACATTACCATGATGTGGGAGCTTCATTTCCAATACAAAGTTCTTGGGTGCCTTTAGATAGATCATTTAATCCCTGCATGGCTTTCATTTTAATTCATTTTAACTTTAATATATCTCATCTATAAGCAATACTGCAGTGATTCTGAGGCTCTTGAGTGTAAATTTTAGAAAAGTCAAGCAAGGAGTTTTCTTTGTCTTGGCAGCAGCCTTCATCAATTTTTGGTAAGCGTAAATGGTGAAGTGTTAGGAAGCAAAGAAGCAAATTCTGAAAAGGTTTTTTTTCAGAGATGCTGACAACAATGGTTAAAAAATATAGTGAAAGATTAGGGCAATATTGTTTGGTTTTTTTGTGGGGCTTTTTATCACTGCAGTGAAAAAGTCAGGGTTTGAATCTCTTATTCTATCCTGCTGGAAAAAACAAGTGCTCAGCTCAGCTCTTCTACAACCTGAGACCCATTAGGAGACGCAAAGATGTAGCAATCCCACTAGAATTTAAGTTCCTACTTTGCTAGAGCTAAAAGACAGAGCTGCCACTTTCATATTAAAACACTTCGTCCCTGAAGCATGCTCACTGCACCATCAGTATTCACATCTAGCTCTTTGTCTCTTGCCAAGGAGCACCTTTGGTACCACAGGTTGGCAGAGCAAATAGAAGACAAATTCCATTGCTTCCTGCAATACAGAGAGATTTCTATCCTTCTTAAACCTATTGTTCATGGAAAGCATTTTTAAAAGCACCTCCTTGTAGATTCCTACCATCTAACGTGATAATAATCCTATCCTTAGAAAGCTCTGATACAGTAAACTTCAACACCTCTGGGAATGCTACAGAATGAAAAATTGCTGAGAAGCCCATTAACCTCCAGACCACTCTCAGCATACCAGTAAAGTCCAACATTTTCAATCTGACAGCAAACATTTAACAAAAGGTATTTAACCAAACATTTAACAAAAAGGTATTATGGACTAAAAACCCAGCCACTGCTCTCCCATCCTGCCCAGTTAACAATTCCTTTATGAAATGAGAGACGTTGTGTAAATGAAAAGCAGAAAGGGCAGGACAAGGAAACCAGAAAGATGTATTGGTCAGCATGGTAGAAAACAACCTCTTCTGTGTGGTGGCTGCCTAACTGGGGACAAACATCAGGTGGAGACAGGAGAATTTTCCCATGATATCACAACTGTTTTTCCTGTGTACATCAACAGATGTGAGAAGAAAGATACATCTTCTTCCCAGTGCAGCTATAGAGCCACTTTGCCAAGGCGTTCTTGCTCTTGGAGCACCTTTCCTGCTTCCCCAAGGGCTTGCACTGCCCAGTGAGGTAGCAAATACCAGAGAAAATAGAGCATCCCTTATGCCCCTTTGCTTGCAGTGCTTATCATGGGAGTACCACAGAGACATGCTGAAGCAGAGGTGGCAGCTCTTCGTAGCACACTTTGGCCACCTCCTAGGTTTGTGGAGGAAATGGCAGGATGGCAACAGAAAAAGAAGAAGTAATTCAGAAGCTTTTATTTAAAAGTCAGAGCTAACAAAGCATTTCACAGGTATAGTCAAGAAGTATCAGTCATCTTACTACCCAGTCACTTCACAGATCTGTAAACTAAACAATATCGAAGAGTACGTCAATGAACAGAAGCCTGTATTTATAACAGCAATAGTGTTTTTTTCAACACAATAATATTTCAATTTATTTACCTTCATTTTGTATGATTTCTTGCAAAAATCAGAGAATAGAAAGAGAAGTATATGTTATAAAGTTTGGATAAACTATGCTTAATTTTATGCCTGCCATAACGTCTTAATGGACCCAAATTTTCTTGAAGCTTAACTCAACCGATAATTAATTCATAAAATTTCTCCACTGCTCTCGCATCTTTTCTATTCACAGTACGCCTGAGGGTAGCTTTTTCTGCTGTTACCTTTGCTAAGGTATTTCACAGGTCTTCTGCCACATGCTTATATCCATTACTCCCTCTCCCGCAGACAGAGATACACATATTAATGTAATGTCTATATACTTGTTAAATGTTAATTAAATAGTTTGTCCTAGATGCAGGAAATTCCATAGATG